CGAGAGCTGCGAGAGCGACGGGAACCTGCGCTGCACGGGAGGTGCTGACCAATGTGCTGTCGTCGTCGGGACGCTGGTGCAAGGTGCGGCTTCCTTCACTCCAGGGCGGGTTAAATCCCTGGGGAGTCGGAGGGTGTCCTGGGGCTCGTCCGCGCCGGCTGAGCCAGGAAACGTCCCTTTGCTTAGCAACAGCCGAAACAATAGAGCCCGTCACTCAAAACAAAGAGCTGCATGATCAGACTCTGTCCCGGCTCCAAGCCCCCCAACTCTAGCTCACTGCACCCCACTCCACTCCCACAGCCAGGGATAGTACCCAGGTGTCCTGGTTACCAGTTCTCTCTAACCACTAGACCCCATGTCCTTCCCAGAGGTAGGGATAGAACCCACATGTCCTGGCTCCCAGTCCCCCTGCTCTAGCCACTAGATCCCATTCCCCGTCCAGAGCCAGGGATAGAACCCAGGAGTCCTGGCTCTCAGCCCCCTGGAGATTCCAGCAAGACTTGGAGTCCTTTTGCATATTTTTGGTGATCCGCTCTGGTCAAAAGGGGTAAAAATATTTTACCCCCTTTGCTGAGCAGCAGCAAAATTCTAGGGCCTTGTAGATCAGTTTCCCACTGGAGGAGAAATCCGTGGGGCAAAGTCTAGTATTTCCTTAGGGCAGCTTGCCTGTTTACACTGTTTCCACCAGTCCTGGAACAGAGGTGGGTGTAAACGGCATGCAGGCTGTTCCTTTAATCTCCGTTCAAACTCAAGGGACTCTCAGGGAATATTTCTGGAGTCAGAGATTCATGCAGAGAGCAATTTCTCCTGCTGCTTGCCACAGCTGCCCTGGAAAAATACCACATGAAAAAAACCAGACTGCAAGCTTGTCCGACTAGGTGAAACATCTGCCCGGAGGGTCATTGCTTCTGTAAGATGAGCACACTGCACCCCCTCAGAGCCCCCTGTGCCCCAGGAACTCCCTGCCACTCCTCCTTACTCCATGTGCCCCCCATACCCAGGTACCCCCAGGCCAGGGGCTCCGCATGCTCCTATCCACCAAAGCATGAGATGCTGTCATACGGCATGCAGGACCTCCCTTTGCTAGGCCAGTGATAACGATTCAGAGGCCAGGGCATCTCGCAAAGAAACGTGGGTTCATCTTGAGGACCGTGCTGGAAGAAGAGTGGGGTTCCCTCAACCCCCAGAGGTTTATTTTTCCTCAGTGCTTGATACTGGTTCCATTGTTGATGGAATAATGTGTCCAGTGCTGGGGTCGGGGAGCACGGTGGTAAATTGGAGTGTGTGGGTGGGGGGGGGCGAGAGGGGGGTCCAGAGAAGAGCCATGGGAATGATCCAAGGCATGGAAAACCTGGCTTTAAAGTCCAGGGACCTACGCTACGCAGAATGCCACATTCACTGATCACAGGGGTCCTTCCTGGCCTGAGAATTTATTAACCAGGCTGGGAGCTACCCCAAGACCACTAGGGCTTGGAGATGAGGTCCCTGGAGAACCAGCCTGGGCCCGATCATGGCGTCACGGAAGGGATTAGGCTGTGCCGTGTCTGATCTGCTCTGGTTTCCCCACACAGGTGCGGTTGCGATCCCGTTTGCAGGCCGGGGCTGCGCTACCCGGGCGGCCTGCGGCATCAAGACGCTGGAATCGGGGGTGTTCACCTACAAACTGACCAATGTCCAATGCAGCCCAGCGCCCAAAGCGCAGACCAGCAGCGCCACCCGGACTCTGGCCTGGGGTCCCTTCACCCTGGGCAGCATCGTCCCCCGGGTCCCCCTTTTCCTCCCTGCCCTTCTGGGGCTATGCCTCTGCTAATGCCCCATCTGCATGACTGGCCGCCCCACAGGCCATTAGTGTCTCAGTATAACCAATGCGCTCTGCCTTTCTCCGTGCCTGACTGTGCCTCAGTTTCCCCCTCTTTGTAAGGGGGATAACAATGGTGAGCTGCCCTTGCAAAGGTCTTTGGGATCCCTGGATGGGCAGGGGCTTGAAACAGAGTCCGATACAGCCAAGAGGAGACTCTCTGCTAATTCCGTTGGGTTTGGAGCAAAGTGCTGGGTATTATTAATATCCCCTCACAGCTTCTCCTCCAGCCTTTCAAAGATCCCTGCGAGGGAACAGACCCTGGACTCCTGACTTGCAGCCCCCCAGCTCTAACCACTAGACCCCACTCGCCTCCCAGAGCTGGGGATAGAACCCAGAAGTCCTGGCTCCCAGCTCCCCGGAGACTCCAGAAATGGTACGAGTCCCCCTGTGCATTTCAAACTGCTCTGAATAAAGCATGATCAGAGATGGAATCGCCCAGGAGCGTCCCTGCATGTGCGTGAGTTTGTGTGTACCAGCGCTGACCGTGTCTGCTCCGCTTTCATGTGTCTCTGCCAAACACCAGTGCTTCAGGGAGCAACTCTGCCTCCAGAACGGACTCCAATCAGAGGCTGCAGGGCACAGCAAACGCACCTGCTCTTGCACACCTCCCTCCACACAAAAACCTTGCACAATCCCCCACCCCAGAACTAGCAAAACCCCC